AGAAAATAATTTAATTTCATACTTTTTTAGTCAAATGTTGAGGGTTTTTTTTTTTCTTTTAATTGTCGCAATAATACCTGTTTAGTTTGGAGTTCAAAAACGGTTCTCTGAATTTTTAATTCGAAATTTTTTATTTTTTAGATCCACTTAATCTTAATATCCTTACAAAGTAAAAAATTTATACGAAAATCTTTAAAATATTTATTGAATACAATGAAATACAAAAATGTACTAATTTTTTATATTTGGTAATTTTTTTAATTTTTTTCCACAAATATTATACTTTTAAGTGTATCTAAAAAATAAAAAAAAATTAAATAAAAAATCATGTTTTTATTTTTGTTTGCTAGACTTATCAAAATACATGTAAATAAATATAAAAAAATCATAAATAATATACTTTTTAAGTGTATCTAGATTAGGTGTGTCGAAAAAATAAAAAAAAAAGTAAAAATTCATGTTTTGATTTTTGAATTTCTAGACTTATCAAAATACATGTAAATAAATAAAATGTTACAAAATTTATTAGGGAAAATTTACCCACAAATCTCATACAGAGGAATGTTGATTTATTTAATTCCGAAAGTTTACTTACGAACCAATTAGTCAATGTATCTAAAAAAATAAAATATTTGTGAAAAAATATTTTAAAAAATTAATAAATACACAAAAATATGAAAAATATACTGAATGTTCGTATTTTTTTGTATTTTTGGCATTTTGTGAATTTTTTAAAGATTTTTTTTACAAAAATTATACTTTTTAAGTGTGTTTATGTTAGATGTGTTTAAAAATAAAAATAAAATTTTTTTTAAACTATAAAAAATTCAGTAAAAACAAAAAAAATATAAAAAACAAGAGTAATTTTAAAAAAAAAAAAGTGAATTCTAAAAACTAAAAACAAGCAGTTATATATATATATATATATAAAATACTAGAAAAACAAAAGAAAAACTGCAACTACACTTACAAATATATTATTAAAAGTAGTATTTAGGAAAAATCTTCTATAAATTCATATTCTCACCGGTACAAGTCATTAAGGACAATGGTGCTTCTATTGGGGATATAAAGACATTTGTTGATGAAAAATTCATGTGCTAAGAGTTTAAAAGATTTAGTTCCATAAATACCATCTCCCTAAAATAATTTTATCTATCTCTTCAATTTTTTAACATATTTGTTCAATTTTTTAACCTATCTATCCAAATCATTTTTACACCTATCTAAACAAATTATATTTTCACCTTCAATTTTTGAAATACTTTTAATCTATTTGTTATAATCATTCTAATATTTTTAATCAATCTATCCAAATTGTTTTAATATTTTTAATCTATCCGTTCAAATTCTTTTAATGTATGTCCTAGTTTTTTCTTATACGTCCAAATTGAATCTATTTGTCCTATTAATTTTGCATAGTTATCCAAATTGAAATTAGCTGTCCTAGTATTTTTGACTCTGTCATAGTATTTATTTATTTATTTTTTTATCTGTCCAAATTGAATCTGTCTGCCCAAATTATTTATCACATTTCGTACAAATAGATGATGATGATCAACGTTCCATGTGACTCTCAGAATGAAAAAAAAAAAAGAAAAAAAAAAAGAAAAGAACACAAACAGAGCCAAAATTCACATACATTTTGAGAGAAAAGGTGAGCAAGCTAGAGAGAGATACAAAGGGGGTCTACCCAGAAACAGGGACAGACCAGTGCTTAGGTTGATCACCAGAGATGGGTTTTCGGTGGGGAGGTCAGACTTAGCGACAATCGGCATGCCCAAACCCCATGAGAACCGACGAGCCACGTTGGTCATGTCGGTGCACCAAAACTCGACGTGGTGGAACCTCTTGACAACGAACCGGTTTGTTTGAGAATCCCACTAGCTTAAACCCTTGCGTAGAGTTGCTAAGTTGCACTGATCCACCATTGACAATAGTCTCAGCTTCCTTCCCCATTTCGGCCTTAGAAGGTAAGTGGTGAGAATAGGGTAGAGGAGGCCATGATGTGTGTGTGTGTGTGTGTCAGAGAGAGAGAGAGAGAGGGCTGTATTTGGGAATGATGAGATTTGTGTGTGAAGATTTGTGAAGAAGGAAGAAGGAAGATCAAAGATCTGAAGAGTCGGTGAGAGAGACAGCGAAAGAAAATGTATTTGCTGTCTGATTATGTAGGAGGTGGAGGGACTGTCCTTAAAAACCCGAGTTCGGATCCTCTCCTTGAGGAAGGTCCTTGAGTTGCTGCGGGCAACGGCTCAGATGAGCTGTTGGTCATCCAACGACTGATATTATAAAAAATAAAAAATCAAAAATCAAAAATGTTGTGTTTTCGACTTCCCGCCCAAACAAACAACAACACAGCTCAGATGAGGGATTCGGATCAACTCTCACACACCACTCTCACTCTCACGCAGCAACACAGCCTCCGTCGAACCCATCCTCATCCTCACCGGTGAACCCATCCTCATCGACGGCGAACTCCATCCTCACCGACGGCGAACTCCACCACTCCAGCCTCTACAGAGTACTCTTTTGCAGCCAAAGCTTTCGACTGAAGCTCTTTACAAATTACAGTCAACAGTAAGGTAAGAAATCGAATGCGAGTTTTCATTAATTGGTGTGTTTTACCTCTTTATGATTTCTTTAACTTTTCTCTAAGGTTCTGCTATTTGGTTAACCCACTGTAAATTACTGGTTGCTCATGAGACTGCCAGTTAATATAACACACTGTATAAAGAGCTTAAAATTGATAGACCAGTTTATGTAAACTGCTATTTCTAAGGTTATGATAGACCAGTTTATGAAAATTACTGGAACCTTACATAAACTCGTATTGATAGACCATGAACCTTAAAATTGATAGACTGGTCTACCAATTTCAGAACATGAACCTTAAAATTGATAGGCCAGTTTATGAAAATTACTGGAACCTTACATAAACTGCTATTTCTTTAACCTTAAAACTACTGGTTTTTGACCCATGAGACTGCCAATTAATAGAACACACTGTAAATTGGATGGAACAGGGTAATGTTATGGGCCTTTTGTAGACATGGCAGTCTCATGGGTCATGTAATTATTAACTGGTGTGTAGATATGATATATTGAATCTCATGAATAATTTTTGACCCATGAGACTTCTAGTTATGAATAACTGAAATGCTTGTGTTATTAACTGCTATTTCTATCATATTCAGTAATTTTCCTTATATGACATATGGTCCTATCTATAAACCAGATAAACCAGATAAATTTTCTTAATTCGTTATGAATAATTCCTTATGAATAAACCAGATAAATAAACCAGATAATTCCTTATGAATAAACCAGATAATTCCTTATGAATAATTCAATTTCCTTAATTCGAGTAATTTTCCTTATATGACATATGGTCCTATCTATAAACCAGATAAATGTTATCTATAAACCAATTTCAATTCATTTTCATAGCACTACAACCTAAGCAACCCTGCAATCTTAGTAAGAAGCTCAACTATCATTAACTTAAGATTTTATTTATATGGGTTTTCAGTTGCATTTTGATATCGATATGGAACCTGAGAATGACTGTGATTGGAAGCCAAAATTGGGAATGATATTTGATTCTGAACAATGTGCATATGAATTTTATAATACATATGGAGGAAGAATGGGGTTTAGCATAAGAAGATATTATTGTAAGAAGGACAAGTTCACTAATCAACTTATTCATAGACTTTTGGTTTGCAACAAGGAGGGATTTCGAAAGGTTGACAAGCGAGACCCATTGTCAAAAAACTCTAGAGCTGAAACTAGGACTGGGTGTGAGGCTCGACTTTATATTAAATTACATGAGGGTAATGGAAAATATGTTGTGACTGATTTCAAAGAAAAACACAACCACGATCTTGTATCACCTGAGTGTGCCCACATGTTGCCATCACAAAGAAAGATCTCCACTACCCAAGCAATTCAATTAGATTTAGCGGCACAATCTGGTCTTCGTTTAGACCAGTCTTTTGAACTCATGGGTAGGGAAGCTGGTGGAAGGCAATGTCTTGGTTTTACGAAATTAGATTCTAAAAATTATTTGAGAACCAAAAGACAACAAAGTTTAGCATATGGGGAAGTAGGCAAGGTGTTGCAATACTTTAAAGAAAAATCTTTGCAGAATCCTTCATTCTTCTATGCTGTTCAATTAGATAATGAGGAGCAAATAACCAATATGTTTTGGGCCGACGCACAAATGATCATGGATTATGCCCAATTTGGTGATGTTGTCACATTTGATACGACTTACAAGTTAAACAAAGAACATAGACCGTTCGCATCTTTTGTGGGATTCAACCATCACAGGGAAACAGTTATATTTGGTGCAGCATTGTTGTATGATGAGACCGCCGAATCATTTGTATGGTTGTTTGAAAACTTTCTACAGGCTATGTCAAGGAAGGCACCAAAAACTTTGTTCACCGATCAAGATGCTGCAATGGCTAAAGCCATACCCATCGTTATGCCTGACACAAGTCACCGATTGTGTACTTGGCATTTGATGCAAAATGCATTAAAACATGTTAACTGTTTGTTCCAAGATAAGGGGGTGAAGGGTGTACTAAATAAATTCTTCTTTCACATTGAAGATGCAAATCAATGGAAGTTAGAGTGGGCGGAAATGCTTGATAAATATGATGCGCATGAAAACCATTGGTTGAAATTGACTTTTGCGGAGAAAGAAAAATGGGGATGGCCTTATGTTAGATCGACATGGGCTGCGGGAATGAGTACCACACAACTTAGTGAATCTTTTAATGCTTTTTTGAAGGATTACATTCGTTCTGATTTCAACTTAAATGAATTCTTCATGCATTTCGAAAGGGTACTTTATGAGAAGCGATACAAGGAGTTAGAAGCGGGCTATGCTTTGTGCCAAAGGTTGCCAAAGGTTAAAGCAACAATAAGAATGTTAATTCAAATGGGTAACGTCTACACAAAAAAGATCTTTGAGGAATTCCAAAATGAGTATTTTCAATCCATTGAATCGGACATAGAAGCAATTGAATATGGCGAGGCTAGTACTATGTACACAGTTGTTGATGTTGGTAACAAACATGCAAGGAAAGTGAAGATGGAGAGGGATGGCTCTTTGGGTTGTAATTGTACAAAGTTTGAAAGGGAAGGAATCTTGTGTTGTCACTCATTGAAGGTCATTAGAGACATATTGAAGATGAAAGAGGTTCCTCCACAATACATTCTAAAGAGGTGGACCAAACAAGCAAGAGCCGAAACTGTGCAGCACATTAAGGAAAATGACATTGAAGTAGATGTGAAATTCCAACAAGCCTCGCGGTATAAGACATTGATGACCGCGTTTAGAGCAGTAGCAAGTAGAGCTGCTGAAACTGAAGAAACTTATGATTTTTGTATTGCACACCTTGCTACATTAGGTGCAGATTTTGAAGGCAAGTTAAGTGCTCATTTTGGTGTTGGAAATGAAGTACGTAATGATGATGGCACCCAAAGCTTTGAAGTGGAATGCGAAGATGTGAATCATGTTGTGCAACCAAAAGGATTGAAGAAAAATGTGGCAACTAGTAAGGGCAAAAGGAGGGTCAAAGGTGGATTCGAAGCGGCGTTGGTAGCGAACTCCAAAAAAAAATCCCGTGCTAACATCTTGGCTTCGTCACAATCTATTGCAAGTTCAACGGTTGCACCTTCTCCATTATCTGTTGGAGGAGATATATATGTTCGTGAACAAGTTCCTCCATTTTAACCTCTTCCTCCCCTTCATCCTCTTCCTCGATCTTTGCCCATGGGTGGTAATTACATTCCTCCGCCGTTGACGTATCCCACATATCATGTAAGCCTTTCTTTAACATTGTATTTTTTGTGTGGATATAATATGTGACTCAAACCATAACTGAAAGCATATATGACATTGTTGTAGGCGAACAATTTGCGGGAGATGTATGTGGTGCCAAATTATTTGCCAACTTCAATGGCTCAACGACATTCTGCTCAACCAACATTCCAGTCACTACTACAAGGTTCATGTGGATATGACATTGGGTTTCGATATTCTCAAGAATCAACTACTCCAATGTGTAGTCAGGTTCGTCCTTGATGTATTTTTAGTTTATAGTTGCTGAAAATTCTGTGATATCATGTATTTATAGTTGCTTAAAAATTCTGTCTTTTTTTTTTGTAGGCTATGGACAACCATGAACAGAACGAAACTGATGCTGAAATTGGGCTGCAACGTGAAGTCATGGCCTCTAAAATTGTGAAGCAAACTGCTGCTGGAAAGTGATGTTAAAGTACTAATGTGTCAATTTTTAAGGACCAATGAATTAATTTAGATGTTAAAGTTGTACTGGTTGATTTTCATTTACAGTTGATTTTAATTTATATGTTAAACCCAAGTGAACTGGTTATTGTTAATGTTCATTTAGCTTGGTTGATGTTGGTTATTGTTAAAGTTGTACTGATTCTGTTATTGTTAATGTTTTTTTTTTTAATTTATGTGTTGGTTGGTTGATGTTCATGTCCATGTTCATGTTCATGTTCATTTAAATTGGTGTCCATGTTGGTTGCTTGAGAAGGTACAGATTCAGGAAACTGGTATTGAACATGCTGTATTGAACATGTTAATTTAACTTGGTTGATGTTGGTTGATGTTCATTTAGGACCCTTGAACACTGTTATGCAGATTCTGAAATGGTTATTAACAAATGGTTAACAGTTTTGAATTGCAGTTCCAGGACCCTTGAACACTGTAGATTCTGGTTTTTTTTTTAACCCTGTTATGCAGATTCTGTTTTGAACATTGTATGCTGGTTCTGGTATGCTGGTTTGAACACTGAAAAGTTATAAAGCAACTACCCATCTGAAACTGAGAAGTTATACTCAAGCTCACAACATGGCCTTCTTAGAACAAAACATTATTAGCAATTGCATTCTGTTGAATTCATTCTGCTGGTTCATCTAGTAAATGCATTCTGTTGGTATGCATTCTGTTGGAATTCATTAGCAAATGCATTCTGTTGGATTCTGTTGGAATTCATTAGTAAATGCATTCTGTTGATCTAGTAAATGCATTCTGTTGGAATTCATTAGCAAATGCATTCTGTTGAATTCATATCTGGTGAATTCTGCTGGTTCATATCTGGTAAATGAATTCTGCTGGTATGCATTTGGACAATAAATGAATTCTGCTGGTATGCATTAGTAAATGAATTCTACCCATTAAATCCACTAGGACAATAAACCATCTAAAAACCATCTCAAATCATTCCCAACTTCCCAAATTCCATTCATAAAAACATCATAAAGTACAAACATCATAAATCCATAATAACATTAGTCAAATTTTTCGGATACTAACATTACATCATAAAGTACATTACATCCATAAATCCATAATAACATTAAATCCATAAATCCATAATAACATTACATCATAAAGTACAATAGTAAACCAAATACAATCAAATACACCATCGCCTTCAAAATATTTTCCACCCATCGAAGCCTTCGACCATAGCGCCATGTTCATTTTCCACGTCATACAGCCTCCTCCTCAGCTCGTTAAAGTCTTCTACTGTAACACCATCAGAAGCTCTAGTGTTGGAACGGATTGTGGACGTCACATCTTCATCATCTTCAGCCACGAACTTGAAGTAATTGCAATTGGGATTTTCAGTCTACAATGCAACCAACAATTAGTTAGTCTATTAAAACAAATTAAATTGTGACTACTTACATATTTAATATTTCCAATACAATACTTACATATTTTGATGGGCAAACAAAGAACAAACGCCCTTTATTTCCATTCTCATTAGTTTTTACGATATGTATGGCAGCTGTTCTTCCACAATTGCACATTCTCGGTTTTAATCTTATGTTGCTGTTGTCATTAGAAGAAGAAGCCATTTCTAAATCTACATAGGCAATACAACACAAACAGTCAGCCCTCGAGAAACCAATTTAGTTTTGAAACCAACATTGTAGTGGGCTCATAAAAACCTATTCTATCTGTTATTCAGCATTGTAGTTCTACATACAAATTGATTAGGTCTCAAAGTGTTTAGTTGCACTGAATTCAGGAAAACAATGCTACAATTCTGGGCAGTAACCTATCCTAAGGTGTTCAGAGTTAAGAAGAAGGTAGAGAATATTTTTCTCTGCAATGATCTTGTTGTGGTAATTAACGTCCAGTTTAAGCAATAAGACTTGGTCTTGGGATTGATAATTTAAAATAAAAAAGATAATATTTTAATAATATTCGGTGGTAAAAATCATAGCAAGATCGTTACAGAAAAAGAATGGCAGAGGATCCAAATCCCTTGTGTGGCGCTTTAAAAAAAAGTTAGTTTTCGTTTCCTTTGTTCCTTTTTCTGTATTTTCTTTTAAACCAAGAATTTGGAGTTAAATTTGAAAGTAATTTTGTTATGAATATACCCCCAGTTCTGGAAAGGCTCTTTCAATGGGTCAAATCCACTCCACCAGTGACTCTAATGGCAAGCTACATCCTATAAAGGCTCTTATTTTAGTTAATTTCATATATTGAGAAAGAAACCACGGAAGATTTCTGATCTTAAAATTTTTTTTTTTTTTTATGCTGATGTTGATTTAATCTTGAGGAAAATGCTAATGACTAGCTGTCATTAGTCTTGATGATGTGTAAAAATGTGTGAAAAGTGTATAGAAAACTGTAAAACTTTATGAAAAAAATGTAAAAAGTGCATTGGGATTTTAACTGTCTTAGCATTATTCCCACCTTAACGATGACCAGGGGACTGCTTTTAGCGTGATCCTAATCTTATTCAAATTTGAATGCTATCATTTTATATGCAATGTTAGTGTTGTTAAGGTCTTCATTTTTGTTAAATTAGTAGTGTATTTTTTGTCTCTACAAGTTGTCTGTACTATTGCATTTCCATCTTAGTGGCTTAATTTTCAGCCCCCAATCCAAGCAATCCTAGCTTTTCCTGTGACACTACTATCTTTACAAATAAGAACATACCAAACATTAAGATAAGCAATTGCTTACAGACCTGGCCAGATTATGAGCTGGCCTAACTACATGTCTTTGAACTTTCAAAAAAGCTTATCAACAAACACACAAGAACAGGCCATTTTTTCATTCAGGAAACTTTTGATTGTTCAAGTATATACACATGTAAAATCGGATTGGACCACACACATGTATTACGTTTGAAGTAATTGTGCCCAATGCAATTTCATGTGGTTCTTTTTTCTTTCTTTTTTTTCAGTGAAAATCACCTTAGGTCATATAAAAGGTTTGGACATGGACAGATGGACTTTACTTCTATAGATCATTTATCAAGAACAGAACATACAAAATTACAAAAAAACAAAAAACAAAAAAAAAAAAACAGAGCATACACATTATTATTATTGTTATTATTCTTATTTTGTGTGGTTCTAGTAATCCTAAAATAAATCTCAACTACACACTGATTTTACTCATTTGTCTATGAATTTTTTTTTTATTTTATTTTTTTAAAGAAAGCTGAAAGGCAACCTTTCTTTTCCATTCTTCTTTCTTTATTCTAGTCGCCTACATAATTTGATATTGTGTTTTCGAGTCCATATGTTTATTGAATATCAACAAACCATGATTAACTTATCCATGTTATCCATGATTCCTACCTTTAAGAAGTGTTAGCCAACATTTGGTTTCTGTATAACTACACTTACTGACATTGATTATGTTTTATTGCAGTTGAATTCAAGCCATTAAAATGTTTTTTATGGGGCACACACACCTGTTAAAATTGATTTATTAACAGAAGCCATTAAAATTTATTTATCCTACAGCTACAGGTATTGATATTAATGTTAATGCCTTTTTAATGGCTTGTATTTAGGCAATTTAAGGCAGTAAATTACAGAAGTACTAACATATGGACAGAGATGGAAAAAAGAAGAAGAAGAAGAAGAAGAGGAAACCCAAATCAAAGCCCTAATTTTGAAATTCCAAATCTAAAAGCCCTAAATTTTTTCAGACGTTTCAAAATCCCAAATCAAAGCCCTAATTTTGAAATTCCAAATCTGAAAAGCGCTAAATTTTTTCAGAAATTCCAACTCTAAAAGCCCTACATTTTTTCAGACTCCTAACTTCTTAATTTCAGACGTTTGAAGACCAACCTGGTTCGTGATCTATGCTCAACTGATGGTGGTCGTCGCGGTGGAGTTCACGAAGCGTAGAGGCTGAAGCGGTGGAGCTGTGGTCGTCGTGGGGTCGCCGTTGGGATTGGTCGCCGGTTTGCCGGTGAGGGTAGGTTCGGTGGACGACCACGATCGACTGTAAGGCTGAGTGAAAGTGAGAGAGTGAGAGAGTGAGAGTGAATATGTCTCTGAGCTGTGTTGTTGTTTTGTTTGGGCGGGAAGTCGAAAACACAACAATTTTGAATTTTTTTTTTTTGTTTTTTTTATAATATCAGCCGTTGGATGACCAACGGCTCATCTGAGCCGTTGCCCGCAGCAACTCAAGGACCTTCCTCAACGAGAGGATTCGAACTCTAAAAACCCAGGCAAAAGGTGCGTTAAAAATCCACAAAATGGACTTATGCTTGAGCATTTACCTATAAAAAAAAAAAAACAAAAAAATCTCCCATGTGACGCATTTTTCTTTTTCTTTCTTTTTTTTTTTTTTTAATGCCACATTAATATAGATTTATGTCGAAATTATATCTATATATTCACTAATTATTTTTAAAACATAATATTTACAAAACTTCTATTTACCTTGAGCTATCAATAAACAAAACTTAATAGAATTATATGAACTAAAAAATACTTTATGGATCAAAAAGGATATTAAAGAAAAATTAATTATCTACATAACTAAACTATCTATTTCTTTCTTAATCTAACCACAACATATTTATATTTAATTTTTTAAATAATTTTTGTATGACTTTCATTTCTACCTTTTATTTTTCAAATGAATAAAAAAGAAAATTAAATAATTAGAATCACTTTTAATTTTATGTTACTATTTTTTTTTTCAATTTAACTATTATTTGATTGTTTATTTTACTGTGTTATAATATAACATATATAAAATCATTATTTATTTATTTAAGTTATCTATAACACGATAGGTCTATGATTATTAAAGTAAACATAAATAATTTAATTAAAATTATCATATATGTATATATATAATAATTAGAATTACTCTTTAATTTTAAATTATTATATATATATATATATATATATTAAATTTAATCATTATTTATAATATTAAAGTGGGTATTTACTTTACTATGTTATAATTTAGTACAAAAATATCATATATATTAGAAACACAGTTTTGTAGTTTGGCAGAAAAAATATGCGTTGTATATTTTGCAATATATATTTTAAATAATTTTGGGTAAATTACAAATACACCTTCGGAATGAATACTCAGCCACTCTAGTACACATGCTAGTACACTGGAGCACGGAGTCGCTTGTCATCGAGAGATTGGACATCCCAGCCACAGAGAGCCCCTTCATCGAACGGGACTCATTCATCTTCTTGGGTGAAGACTATCGAGAGTTGGAACATGATGAACTATCACAAGTCAAGACGATGAAGATTACGAGGACGATGGGAACCATGGTATTATTATTTCTACAATTACCTCAAGGGCGGGTTCATACTGAAGTACGGCACTCGTGGTAAAGGGGAGCTCGAAGGGAACTTGCTCGATGATTTATGACCTTCCTCGTCGACAGCACTCAACACGAGCAGTTGAGTTCGACGATCCATCGAAGTATAGTTCCCATTTTTTGGCCTCTACAACAAAGACTTGGCAGGTCGCTTGACACTTCCTCGATGTCCAGCATCGGGTTTTACACTAGTAGATTTGTCATCGCTTTCCCTTTGATCACCTTCTGTGGAGTGCAAGTAAGTTCTGCACTCTGAGAGCTTTAATAGCCATATGAAGGTTCTCCCTTGACAATGCCAGTTGAGTTAACATGTACTTGATAGGGTTCGACTTGGTCACTAGTTGCATTGGATGAGCGAGTAGATAATTCCTCAACTTCTATGCAGCAAATACCAAAGATAAGCACACCTTCTCAATCCTTCAATATCGAGTCTCTGTCGGTTGCATCACTTTGCTCAAATAGTAAGCTAGCCTTTCTCTTCCCTGTCCATCATGCTGGGCAAGGAGAACACCAATAGATTTACTGGAAGAAGAAAAAGAGAAAATTATAGGCTTACCCGGGCTAGGATAGGTGCCATGAGAGTCGGTAGCGACAATAGTTCCTTCTTCATCTAAAGAAGTGCTTGCTCGCAGTGCTCTACCCAGATAAACTTAGAATCTTTCTTCAAGAGGTACATGAGTTGATGGACTTTCTTATACAGATAGAGGATAAAGCTATCACGCCCTAAACCCGCCCCTAAAAGTTTGGGCATGACCACATCAGAAACGGACAGATAATACGATATATACAACATATGGGCCCTGAACGGAAGCATTTAATAACATAAAATAATATAAATTAACATCCATCGAGCTCACACCTCTATGTCAGGATCTCAATGTGCCATTCAACAGTTCCACATATGATAGACAGGTATACAAGAAGCAGATATATGCATTCACACAATAACATATATGGGCATATATACAGAACCAGCCCCATACGTGGGCATACAACAAAAATATCGGTAAAGGAAATTATACACGACTAATTACATTAGACAAAAGATTAAGGACTAAACTAGGGGTCATTGAGGGAACCCCACAAAATGCATAAGCTTCTCCACATGGCTTGACCAAGAAGGGGTGGTTATAGCTGTCACGCCCCAAACCCGCCCCTAAAAGTTTGGGCATGACCACTTCAGAAATGAATAGATAATACGGTATATACAACATATGGGCCCTGAACGGAAGCATTTAATAACATAAAATAATATAAATTAACATCCATCGAGCTCACACCTATATGCTAGGATCTCAATGTGCCATTCAACAGTTCCTCATATGATAGACAGGTATACAGGAAGCAGATATATGCATTCACACAATAACATATATGGGCATATATACAGAACCAGCCCCATACGTGGGCATACAACAAAAATATCGGTAAAGGAAATTATACACGACTAATTACATTAGACAAAAGATTAAGGACTAAACTAGGGGTCATTGAGGGAACCCCACAAAATGCATAAGCTTCTCCACATGGCTTGACCAAGAAGGGGTGACCAAAGCTGAACTAAGACCAACCTTTAGGTTGATTGCCTACAGAAAAAGACATAACACAAGGTGAGCAAGGCTTAGTGAATAATAGCACTCGAACAATTTAATGATTATACTTGAATTGCAATATTTATAACGTATATAAGTGCAGAGGTCAAATAATTACTCTTATCTTGTAAACATTTTCAGAATGGCCTTGGGCCCAATTTTCATACAGAGAGGCTTTAAGCCCAATATTATGCAGAATGGCTTCAGGCCCAACAAATCCAACAGATTGGCCTCAGGCCCAGATATTAACAGATTGTACAGAGCGGCTTCCAGCCTAACAGATTATACAGATCGGCCACAGGCCTAGCAGATTATACAGAACGGCCATAGGCCTAGCAGATTATATAGAACGGCCATAGGCCTAACAAATTATACGGAACGGCCATAGGCCTAATAGATTGTACAGAACGGCCATATGCCTAGCAGATTATACAGAACGGCCATAGGCCTAACAGATTATGCAGAACGGCCATAGGCCTAACAGATTATACAGAACAGACTAGTCTCAGAGTTATATAGAGGCGCACAGATTCTTTCAATCATTCACATGAGTTAACATAGTTAATTTGCGTTTAATAGAGTGCTACTGATAGTTGTTAGCAAAAGTAAAGCGTATCTTACAGATTGGCCTTAGGCCTAGATATTAAAAAGCAGAGTAGTTCCAGAGTCATACCGATGTACATAGAATCTTTCAACATTCACATAAGTTCACACCGATTTCCACTCGACATAAATGTTAACGTAATTACTTGCAAAGAACAGAGCGTTAATAATAAGAATTATTAACGGTAATTAAATGTACGATTGCAGTACTCGTACTCACTGTGCTGTAGGGGAGTGTTAGTTCCTCCCGGGTTGTGACCTACAAACATACACAACTTGCAAATTAGTACATTTCCCTTGTTAAGTCATTTTCTGACTTGTTTGGCTTCGAATGAATTTACAATTATGAAAAGGCATCAAATACAGATTTCAAAAATATCTGAGGGTCAAGCACTTAAAACAGAGCAGACCATTTTTTCCAATATGGGTTGCACGTTCGGCTGTGAGCACCGCACGTGCCTTTTTAGCAGTAGCCAAAGTCCCAAAATTCTCCATTTCCCGCACGTGCGGCCATGACTCCCGCATGTACGGCAGTGCTCCCGCACATGTGGTCATGACTCCCACATGTGCGGCAGTGCTCTCGCACGTGCGGCCATGACTCCCGCACGTGTGGCTATTGGCCCAGTTTTAGTCCGAAATTTCAAGCAAAAACCCAATTTTTGGTAAGTGTTTACAAGGCAGAAAATAGATCCTTTAATTGCTAGAATATGGTTCAAAAAGCATGTACATAGGTCCTTACAAACATATATCAATCTCAATATGAATTGGATCTTTAATTCTTGAACTCATAAACACACTCAATTCCAAAGTATTTCCATCTTCCACATGCTCACACACACACACACACACACACACACACATGCAACCATTTATTGATGTAGATGAGTTCAAGCTTGATAATCGAAAAAATAAGATGAAATTCCTTACTAGATAATTCAATACAATTCCAAATCAATTCAACACAAGAGACAACAACTCAATTAATCACTTAACACAATAATATAGAGGAATTCCTTCTCAATTCAAAGAGGAGGGTCGATAAGAAAGGATTAGACACACCTTGAGTTAAATTCCCTACAAACCCTCTTGATTTCTCAATTCCTTCCTTGAAGAACTTTCTTCTCCCTCTCTAACTCTTTCCTTCCCTCTCTCTCAGGAGATCTTTGCATAAGACTCTAAGTCAAATGTCCAAAGAGGCACAAAGATATATATATAAAGTTGAATAGGACAAAATTCTATCAGTTTAATCATTACAAATTGAAATTTCACAGAAAATCATATTATGACTTAAAAATCATGCCGATCCCAAATGTAAAATCAATTTCAGATTATTAAGCTTCTAAGGCGTTCAATTTCTGATCTGAACATTATAATTGTAACAGATA